TGCAGCATCTGTCTATGCAGGTAACTTTATTCAGCCATAAACTGACTCTTTCCACTGAAGTTGACCACTGGACTGTCCTGCACAGGAAAGACTATAAAAGTGCTTTCTGTTTGAGTTAGCTGCCAGAGATGATCTGTCGGCAGCCATAAGAATTGAACTGTGATGTGGGAATTTAAGCAAAGGAGCATGTCAGAGACCTGGGCCAAGAAACAAGCAGGAATCAGAATGGAGGAGCAAGCAGAAGTCAGATCAGTGAACAAGCAGAAACCAGCACAAAAGGCCAAGGCAGATGTTGAAGCAAGAGCCAGTGCCAAAGAATAGTTCACAAGTGTTCTGTTTCAGGAAACAGCCTCAGCCAGATGGGTTCGTAGCCAAGCATGGGGCTGCGGGCATGAGTACAGATTCCAGCAAGCAAAGTAAAACAAAATCAATCACGATCCAAGTTCAAGTAATAACAATAACAATAACAATTTTATTATTTATACCTCACCCATCTGGCTGGGTTTCCCCAGCCACTCTGGGCGGCAACCAAAAGAACACTAAAAACAGAATAAAACTTCAAACGTTAAAAACTTCCCTAAACAGGGCTGCCTTCAGATGTCTTCTAAAAGTCAGGTAGTTGTTGATTTCCTTGACATCTGATGGGAGGGCATTCCACAGGGAGGGCGCCACTACTGAGAAGGTCCTCTGCCTGGTTCCCTGTAACCTCACTTCTCACAGTGAGGGAGCTGCAAGAAGGCCCTCGGAGCTGGACCTCAATGTCTGGGCTGAACGATGGGGTGGAGATGCTCCTTCAGGTTATGTTATGATAAAGCAAGGTAATGTTCAGGTTCTAATAAGATGAAGTCAAGCAGAAGCAGGTAGCCCCAAGGATAGCTCCACATGGAGCTCCCATAGTCGGCAATATTCAGCAGTGTACCACAATAAGCTGAATTGCCATATTCAGTAATAAGTAAACCCAGACTGAGACTTAGAGCGAGCTACAGCTCCATCTCAACAGCAACCTCTGTTTCTAGTAAGTTAATCCTTTTTTATTTCAAGGGGCCTTGCCCATCAACTTTTACAGTACAGGGGAGATTGTGGTTCTGCTGAGGTTTTTTAATTGGAGTCTTCAGAATCTAACAACATAATCTCTTCAGGATGGAAAACCGTTGGCAAAATGGGCTTCGGAGACATCCTCTGAATCTACCTCCACATCCTGCAAAGATGAGAAATTGGACCCAGAAGAACTTAACAGCGAAGCCAGAAGGCAGAACTGAAGATCAAGGAAAGGGATGTGTCAGAGCTTAGACTATCTTGTTACTCAGGAAAGCCTTTTTACAGTCCTTCCTGTCCAGCAGCAGCTGATTGGCTACTTAACTGTTTTGGTACCTCAATTTTGCACCAAATTGGTGACAACAGAAATTCCTTATGTGCCCATGGGAGGCTTGTCAAAAGAAATACTGTAGGACTGCCATCATACTGCTCTTATCATATTGTCAAATTACTTTGTTATGCTTTATGGAAAGTGATCTACTGTATAAATGAAATAAACAAATTATTAAATAGGATTCAAAATCAAGATACCTTTACTAGATCAAAACTGCTGGTGAGAAAACCTCTTGGAAGAAGAATTTATGCTCCACAACAGAAATGTTTCGTGAATAATAATATCATATGAAACATTTTAGAACTTATCTTTGAGACTTTTCTCCTACAGTCTACCCTAGACTCACAGTTATTGGAGTCTTCAGAAAAGGTTGCAATCGTGTACACACTTAGGAGAAACAGCATACGAAGATCACTGCTGGATCAGGTCCACCTGGCCTAACAACCTGTGCTCTCAGTGGCCAACCATATGCCTATAGGAAGAATGCCAGCAAGACCCAAACACAAGAGTACTCTACTCTCCTCTAGTTTACAGCCACTTGTATTTATGTTGCACCCAACAGTGGATCTAGAACATAACTACCATAGTAGAGAATTGATCGCCTTATCCTCTATGAATTTGTCTAATCCTCTTTATAGCTTTCCAAGCTGGTAGCCATCCCTGCATCTGGTGGGAGAAAATGCCATAGTTTAACTGGGTTTTGTGAAGAAATATTTTCTTTTGTCCGTCTGGAACCTTCCAACATTCTGCTTCATTGGATCACCCTGGGTTCTAGTATTTTGAAAGAAGGAGTACTCAAATAATGCTTACTTTTCAGGAGACCTGGCTAGACAGACATGAATAGTGTAAATGTCATGTCCAGCTGGTCTCATGTCAAAGTGACCCTCTGAAAACACTGAACCCATTTGTCCTGGTTTTCTTTTTTTAAAGTGCCCAGTGTTTCTGGTGTCCCCCACAGCTCACGACAAATCTAATTAGATGGAGCCAATCAGTTGTAGAGTACAATCATGACTGTAACATTTTCAGGCATTTCAGAAACATGTATATTAATGACAGAGGCAAGAAGAGCACCCTCTTCTGTGTTCTGCTGTCTCCACACATGCAGATTATTTTATCAATTGTGTGAGAGCAGCAAGCTGGATGTTTTTCTTCTTAAAGTGCCCATTGACACAGCAAGGAGCACAGTTTCTCTTATATGGTCTTAATACAGGCTCCTGCTTTGTTGCATTACAGTTTAATCCCCCCTCCACAAGGTGCAAGCAAAAATCTTTGCTTGGCTGGCTTAACCCCAATCAAAGAGTAGTGCCTGACAGCTCTTGCTTTTTCTTCCTCCTGTAAATGGACATGAACTGTGAAGACCTTATCAGATATTAATACATGTTATTCGGGCTAACGGGGGAGAAAAAGACACTTGCTGACACAATGAGCAACTTGAGATATGAGAAAATCCGACCTGAAATTAATTTATCGCCATACTGCCTTTCAAGTGCATTAATTTCAGTGAAACACATTTTCTGCTTCCATTATGGAACCTGATTGTCAGAGGTGTCAAGTAGCCACCTCTTACCTTTAGAAATTAGTGGGATTTGAGAATGTTCATCTCTTCTGGTAACCAGACTCATGCGCAAATGAAAATAGACTAACACTACCCCAAAGCCTCATGTTCTCAGTTCAGGTTTCAGTACAAGTACCTTGAAACCCTTTTATTCTCTCCTTCTGCTACAGAGGGAACTGGCTTGTATTCATACATTGACCAGGAACAGGGTCAAAGAATACTGATAGCAAGAAATGAGCCAACCTGCCAGGACAGGTGAGACGTAGGCAATTAGATATTTGAACTGTTGTCTAGGTTAGGGATGCTAAATCTGGCCATGGGACGGGATGGAACACACAGCCGCAGGCTGGAGACCAGCCAGCTTTCATGTACCCAGAGTAAGCAGGAGAAGGATTAAGAGCCTTGGCAACATATTCTCTACACCAGCCTTTATCAACCTGGTGCCCTCCGGATGTTATGGACTACAATTCCCATCTGTCACAATGGAGGGTACCAGGTTGGCAAAGGATTTTATACAAATGGTTCTAGGACAAGGACAAGTAAAGTTCATTGAGGCAAAAACTAGAATGAGTATTAAGCCAGCAGAATTTTGTAAGACGGCAGTGATCTTTGCAGGCCAAGAGCTGCATTATCCTAGTGGAAATATTTTGGGAGCCACATTTCACTAGTGAGCAGGCCCAGACACACAACCACCCACACACCCTCACCACAGAGCACCACACATCCACAGAATCACACACACAATGCTGTCTGCCTCTGATCCTTGCTCATCTTATCTGTGCAAATCAGCTGAGGGGGGAATGATTAAGTGAAAACAGTCAAAAAGTTGTTTTATTTATCCAAAACTGTCCACATGGGCTATTTCCCCTCTAAACATCTTGAATCCTGAGAGAACAGAGCTTGCTTTTCAGTCACTCAGCAAGCAAAAAGGATCTTTTATTTTGCTAACTTAATTAGTAGTGATAAGCCATCCTTGATCCACGGCAATAATACTACCTGTGATTGCAATTTGTTTTAATTTCACATACAGTGGTACCTCGGGTTACAAATACCTCGGGTTACGGACACTTCAGGTTACAGACTCTGCTAACCTCGGGTTAAGAACTTTACCTCAGGATGAGAACAGAAATTGTGCGGTGGCAGCGGGAGGCCTCATTAGCTAAAATGGTACCTCAGGTTAAGAATGGACCTCCGGAACGAATTAAGTTCATAACCAGAGGTACCACTGTATACACTAATGGGGTCTGAACTGGAGCTGACTGACCAGGAACACAATAATGGGGTCATAGTAGATAGTCCTAAGAAGACATGTTTCAGTTGTCAAGATCTTTCTAAAAATGTTCCATGAGCATGGCTCTAGACGTGGCCACAATGTTCCAGAGATGACCTGACCATACATTAAAATAATAGCACAGGCATGGGCTACAGTTCTTTGGATATCAGCCCCTCCCTCAGCTATGTAAAAGTTTGTTTCATTGGAGATACATCTCCAGAACATTTAAAGAAATCAAAAACCTAATGTACACTGATGTCTCAGCTGCTCATTTCCATAGTCACATTAAGAATTCTCTTTGAAGGCTGCCCATTCTCTATTAAATTATTTATAGTTTCTCATGGACACTGTATCCCAAAGACCAAAGTATTTTCACACAGAGGCAGCACTTCACATGAAGAGGGCTTTATGCAAGGGGAACAGCCCCAATCAATCAAAATTTATACTCCAGAAAAAGGCAGCAAAATTCTCATTATGCATGCTAGAAGGCCATTCATTTTTCTGTCCTGTAAATAACTGTGGGGACGGATAATGGACACTTGACACCTGCTTAGATCATCAGCTGGTGTAGTCAAAGGGATAGTCATTTATCTGCCAGATTTAACATCCATGCAAAGCAGTGTTCAACTTTAATAAGTGGTTGAGGAGAAGAGAGTGATACCCCTCCCCACTGTGGCAACCAATCATTCGTTTGAGTGAAATCCCAGCTCATGGAAGGCAGAAAGGGGATTCTCTTCATGCAGCTGGGCATTTGAATCCCATAATACTAAAGGCCTTGAGAAACACCTTCTGGACTACAAACTACAACCTCTGAGTTGGACATTGGAAACACTGACAATGGTCAACAGTGTTTCCAATGTCCAACTCAGAGGTTGTAGTCTGTAGTCCAGAGTTAAGATTTAACGCAGTGGCAAGTGCAGAAAGAAGCCTGCTAGCAAACCAAGCAAACATTTGTGAACTGATCTGCCTCCCTGCACTGGTCCTGGCCAAAGTTGGCACTTTCCACCAGCACTGCTCCATTTAGCACTACTCACAAGTGGGCAAGTGAGAGTATTTAGGCCTTTTTGGAGTGGGGAGCTCACCACTGAGCAGGCAAAATTTCTGTTTTGGAAAATTGGTCTGTTTTCTTTACCTTTGACATCTGCATTTTCAAAATGTGGGAAAGATCCAGGAAAACAAGATGGGCTTGATGGGTCTTATGATTCAAGATGTTGGCCTAAGTGGTGTCAATGGAAGCTTCAGCTCTGGGTCTAATAGCAGCTGGGGGGAGGTGTGTGGAACAACGTTCATCAGGACTGCCGTGGGGAAAGGTAGAAATCTGCCTCCCACTACACTACAGGTGGAGAACTGGATCTCAGCAGCAGGACAGATGGTTATCTATTCCACCAATTGGCCATGTTTGACAGGTAGGCAGCTCAATCAACTGACATCACAGCGCCTCCCCCTTTTTTTAATTATCTGCAGGGGTCTTCAGAAGCCCTTTTCAAATAACTACCTTGAGCTGATTGTCAGATCTTCAGAAGCCCCTTTCAATGTGCTAGGTAAAATAATCTAAACTGTGGTCCTATTCCTGACAGAAACACCAGCTCCTGATACGTGTTTTTGTTTTAAAAAACATGCATATAACTCCATATGATATGTTTAGCATCAGACGTAGATTTCGCCTCTGAATTCAGTTTCTACTACTTTGTTTGGAGTACCTGGTATCCTTGTTTAGTGACACACACACCCTCCAATCAGTTAATCAGCTGTATCTTCCCATACAAGAATAAGCCAGCATGGCTTACTGCTATAATCATTATCTCTGCAGCCTGCCATGTTAAACAAAAGAAAAATATATGATGACTGGTTTGAATTATTGTTCGCAGTGTGTATTCTGCAGCCATGAAGGTAAACTTGGTAATCAGAACACCAGGAATTTATATTGAACATATATTCAAATTGAATTCTAAATTGAACAAAAAACATTACTTTAAAAGTATCCAGAATGAGTTTGCTCAACTGTGCCCCTGCTGCTTTGCTGCTAACCACAATCTAAGAGAACACACAGAGAGTCTGACAAATTGAGACATCACTGGCAATTAATCTTAATTACACAACTGGAAGGGGATATTTCGGCTGGCCAGAGCCCAGAAACAGCAAAACGCTTTCACTTGATAGAAAACCTGAGCATTATTCTTGATACATACAACCTAATACTTTAAAAAAAAATGCTGGAAGAAATAAAACCCCTCATTGATTAGGAGCCCATCGGGAGGCTGAATTAATGTTTTTCTACATGAACTAGATTGACAGATGAGTTTCTGATTTCTTTACACTTCAGAACAGATATGATTCAGTAGAACATATCCTTAGAAAAAGGCAACTAATTTCCCAGATCTTGGAGTAAGATTTGTGTAAAAGGACATAGTCAGACATCAAGGTAGAGCTACAGTTTGCACCCAAACCTTTCACTGCGGGATAACATGGATATCAGGATATCGACAAGGTTTGCTACACTCCATTCAAGACAATATTCCTGTCCCTTTTAAGAGATTGCAAATGAGCCAATATTCATCAGATGTAGCTTTTACCATCACTGCATCAGTATGATGAGGAAAACTTTCCTTACGGGGTTTGTTTTTCCCTGCAGAGCACTTAAAAGAAAAATTAAGCCCTGTCCCAGATGGATAGACTTTGCCAATGCTATTTACTACTACCTTTTAAAGATATCAGGCTATTAAGTAGTAAGAGGTGAAAGAGTTAGTACAATTTGCATATTGTACTAACAGGACATAAACTTCAGGCACTTTGCCAACAGAGGACACAGAGAAGACAGTTGTTGGGCTGCACACTTAAGCTCCCCATTGGTCTTACAGCTGTACTTTCTCTCCAGTCAGCTACTACCCAGGGACCAGGAAAGGAGAAGGGGAGCTTCCTTTATTGGGTTATCCAGCCTGATGCTAAAGCAAAACTTTTCATAAGGAGTGGGATCAAATGCAACCCCCTTAGTTTGGATCTCCTTTAGTTTGTTTGTTTGGTTTAACACATGAACCACAGAATTGTAGAGTTGGAACCACAAGGATCATCTAGTCCAAGTCCCTGTATTGCAGGAACCCTTTGCCCCATGTGGAACTCAGAACCCACAACTCCAAGATTAAGAGGCTCTTTGTTTACATAGTTTGCACACTTCCATAGATATATGTATGTCTTCTTGGGCCTATGCGAAATGCTGCAGCTCTGTGCTGAAGCATCTGCTTTGCATACAGAAGCCCCCAGGTCCAATCCAATTGGGACCTCTCAAGTAGAACTAATCCTAGCGAGGATTGTATCTGGTGCTGAATACAAGCCCCATTTGCAAAGGAACAAATCAGGAGTGTGTTTTAAGGCCCCCAATAGTTCATTTCCAACTGCATCTTTACCTGCTCCATGCCTGACATAATAGATAATGTCAGGTTTGGGTTAGGTGGGCATGGCTTGGCAAAAACAGCATCACAGGCCAAATTATGACCCCGGCCAGGCCTAGTTGGATGTGTAGCCCAGATTTTCCCCACAGCTGCTATACAGGACTCAACCATGATACCTCCCAATGGAGATGGGTGAGTCTAGGAGAGATTTAAAACTTTTCTCATGGAATGTCAGTGGGATGGGTGAGCCCATCAAACACCAGAAGATGGCAGACCACATCAGGCAGCACTTCCTGAATGTAATTTGCTGACATCGTGCAAACTGCTGTGACTGATTTCTAAAATGTGGGACAAATCCTGGCTAAATTCATATCTTGCGATGGCATAGGGGAAATGATGTCACTCTCCCAGTACAATGTGAAAAGATTCCCCATGAGATATGAGGCTGCTTCGCCTCATCACCTCTAGTTGTTGGGTTTTAGTTTTTGCTGTTTTGATTGTGTTTGTGTATGCTGCAACCCGCCCTTGGGACGTCTGCTGAAGGGCGGGTAAGAAATGCAATAAATAACCATAATACTCCCCAGCATCGCCCAGTAGGGCTAGGAAATAATCCTGCCTGTAGTCAGTGTATGCAATACTGAGCTAGATGGATCAATGGTCTGACTCAGAGTAGGGCAGCTTCCTGTAACCTTGTGGAGCGAATGGAAGAGGTGGGATCATGTCCTTCCTTCAACAACACTGCATCCCAGTGGCACTGAAGGTCTGAAAGGAGGCCTTATTTATTTATTTATTTATTTATTTATGAAAAGCATTATGAATCAGCTTTCTGCCTTCAGAGGTGCCAAGGTAACATGCAATAAGGAAAACAGTACAAGAATAAAAAACACTTTATAAAAAAGGAACAAAATCAGACAGCAGAATTTAAAAAACATCAAAACCAGATGAAACAAAACAGCTCATCTAGCACTAGGCAAAGATAGAGCCAACCTGGCCTTCCTAAGAAGAGAGTTCCACATTCAGGATGCTTCTGTAGATAAGGCCTTGCCCCAGGTACTCACCAACCTAGCCTCTCTTGGTTGTACATACAGGCCTCTGGTGAAGATGAAAAAATTGTGCAGGCTCACATGAGAGGAGCTCTTTCAGATAGTTTGGCTCCAAATCATCTAGGGCTTTATCAGTAAGAACCAGCACCTTGAATTGTGGTCAGAAACAAATTGGAAGCCAATGAAGTTGACACAAGACCAGTCTGACAATTTTCACACTGGCTGCTGTTTCTAAACACTCATCCAAAGCAGTCCTTACTCTTTAAGCTTTATGCATGCAGGTGCTTCATGTGATCTAAACACCTTGCACAAACATGGTTCCCATGCACACACCCAGCTTACATACGTGGGCAGCAGAAAGGGGCAGTGGGAACCACACTGATATGGATAGAGCCCAAAGTGCATTCATATCTTCTGGTGTGGAGGGTGAGCCTGTGTTGTGGCTGGTGGAAAGAGGTTTCCCTGGGATGCCTGACTGAGATGCCAACCCAGACAACACTGGAAATACTGGGCTGTCCAGCATGAAAGGAGACACTTGAGCAGGTTAATTCAAATCAATGTACTATATCACTTACACAATTGCTGAAGACAGCACAAACACTTGAATGGCAAATTGCAACATTTGTACATTTCCCGTGCTATTGTTTGATGATTAAGATTTCAGACAGGAAAGCAACCGGCAGAACAATGTGAAAGAATTACCACTGCTAATCAGAAATAATCAAAATATAGGCATGGATAAAAAGGAAAGTGAATTATCTGAAAGTAGGATTGGATGAAAAGAGTGGGTGGTGGGAGTAAGTATGAGCGCACTGAAAGATATTAAGAACAGCTGGCATAATCATAAAAGCCCAATTTGAACTACAACTGACAGAATGGAAGTTATTTTATTGTTGCAGCAGCATTCCTTCTCCCACTTAATCCATCTAAGCTGAAGCATTTGCACAATGAAAGGTGGAGCTAGGAAACAGTCTACAGATGCTTCTACTCCTACAGATTCCAATTCTTAATTCCTTAAAAAAACACCCTAATCCTCTTAAAGCTAAATTCAAGTGTTATGCATATTAAAATATTATATAGTATTTATGTTGGACCTACCCATGCTTTTCTCTGCTCGGTATCAAATGGATTTTGTTGTGGCTTTCATCAGCATGGATAACCTGAGCGACATACTCCCCACTTTGCTGGAAGTATCTGTAGACAGCCACTTGCACAGTGCAGTCTTCACTAGTGCTTTTCAGCCAAGGGCTCAAAATGAGGAACTTCGTGCTTTCTGATGTACTGAGGTATAGGAATGAACCTGCAATGAAAGAGAAGATAAGAAGCTGATTACCCTCCCCAAAAATGTAAATGATAACAAGGATTGTTGTCCAAACTAGGGCTAGCAGCTTCCTTTACCTTGAAAAACAACTGTTCATTCTAGACTCAGTCTGGTGTTATTGGATTG